TAAATGAAAACACACCGATAAGTACACAGTTCCGGTTTTCTTTGTCTCTGTAGATGTGGTGTGTGCTACATCTAGCTCCCCTTGGGACTTCATCAACAACAATCTATGTGTTTTATCTGCAATGGGAACAGCATGTGTGAAAAACTAAATTAGATAACCTTACTCTGTTAGATCAGTTTTGTCTCTCCCTGGCAATGGCATTCAAAAATATTCCTTCATCATTATGCCTATGTTGTTTTATTGGAAATATTGACAAGTGATTCTAGGCCTGCAAGGAATGATGCAAAGTAGATGTTCTTTTGCTGACCTACAAGTATCTATTATTCTTATATCCCAATCATTTTGAGAAATCAGTGAATAGTTGCTATCAAACTTTGAAACTTCCATACCAAGAGACATCAATAAAGTTAGCAGTTTCTAACTGTTGGAGCTGGGAGCATGTGGGTGTGTGTTGAATTGACAGTAGTATAGCTTTAGATAAATTAAATTGTACACTTTTTAGGAACTGGAATAGAATCAAATAATTTTTTGTATATATGTATGAATCCTGTTTCAGAATGCAGTCCAGAAGAGTGTTCCAATGTATAAAACTGCCACCAAAAAAGAAGTTGATGTTCAAATTGATCAGGACCATTTTCTTCCAGAAGACATGTAAGAAACACAGCTAGGAAAAATAACTTGCTGGAACTGTTTAATAGAGTGATGGTCATTGTTTTAAATAGGGTTTGCATAAGGTAAATGAACTTGGGAATTTCTCATATGAAATGTAGTTTAGTGGGAATTTGCACTGTGCTGTACTTGATAGCACATATTGGGCAGACCCAGTGGCCATGGTCTTTCGTTTAGGTCAGTAGGTTAAACCAATCCTGTAGGTAGATTTGTCTGTTCTGATCTTTATAAATTGAAACAATGATATTTAGACCCTGTTTTGGATTAGTGGTCTTATTTATGTACCGTTTCTCTTTCATTTTGGTTTTGATTCTCTGTGTATCTCCAGATTCACTACTGTGAGATGGGGAGCTTCATAAATTGTCCTTACTCCTTTCTGTCCCCCTCCCCACCCTCCCTCTAGAAGTCATCAGACTTCTAACCATCTTTGAATGACAAAGAATAGTGGGAGTGATTTCAAGTGCCAGCATGTTCATTAGTATGTATTTTTCTCTTCTAGAGCTGGAGGTGTTGAAATTTATAACAGTGACAGTAAAATTAAGGTATCTAATACGCTGGAAAGTCGTCTGGGTCTCATTGCTCAGCAGGTAAGCCTAGAATTTTTTCTCTTGTATGAATGAAATGTTTTCCATTTAACTCCGTGCAATCGCTCATTCAATTCTTGGGTCAGCCATGGTTTTGCTATGGGACATCATGGCAACTTGGGTGCTGGGGGGGTCTACAAGTCCACTACTACCATCAAACAACAGCCCTGGCACCAAGAAAAGCTGTCTGAGGGCTACTTAATTTAGACACCCTCCTCAGTCTTGGATTTCAACCTTTTCTCTTATGTAAGCTCTTGGCCCAAGATCTTTCCCAATTTCTGGAAAGACTGAGGTGTGAGGCTCAGCTATGGTTTCTACCATAAGCATTCTTCAGTATTTAGAAGTAGAAAATCTTATTGCCATCTTTTTAGAAGGTATTTGCCTTTTAGCATACTTTTGACTGAATGACTGTTAAGCATGTTCTAGGAATTTGCTGGACCATCAAGGAATATTCAGAACCTTTCTTTTTTGCTCCCTCAACAGATGATGCCAGAGATCCGGACAGCACTTTTTGGTGCCAACAGTAACAGGAAGTTCATGGACTAAAATCCCTGGAATACTGGTGGAATTCTCTTCCGCCCATGTGCTGAGGGGAAATGCTGGAGCATTTCCAATAAAACAATGTCCCTTCCCCTAAAATGTACTACATGCTCTATTGTGTTATCTGAATGTTTTCCAGTTAAATTATTAACTTTTGCATACTTGCTGTGCTTAATCTGAGAGAAAGGCAGGAAGAACTTTTTCGAGAGAATAGTGGCACAGCATTAAAAAATGAAGGCATTTGCACTCTTTGATCCAGACCAATTAGAGAAATAATTTGGAGCTTTGTTGTCATTCTTCAGTATTGTTCTTTCCCTCAAAGTATACCACCACCGTCCTGCTTCTCTATTCCTTTCCAAAGCTTACGTTTCATGTGCCGATGACTGCAAACTCCACAACTTCCCCATTCTGGTGCTTCCCAGGCTGGGAAAAAAGCAAGTCATGTTAACTTGGTTTTAGTCCCAGAATTTTGTTCTGTATATGTGATTGAAACTATATATATATATATATGTATACACACTCTCATTGTGCTGAAATTTATTAAAATGAAAAGCATGCAATCTTGTGTTTGATTTTTTTCCTTGTTATAGCAGATGGCAGAAGGTTACATCCACAATTCAATTAAAGATATGAAAACAAACGCACGACAGCTGTAGTTTGTTAGATATGGGAAGAGATTTGGGGAACCTGATAAGGTGTTAGTTCCTCGTAGAGTCAAAAACTTCACATTAACATTAGGAAAAATATAAATGGTGATTAATTAGATGCTTTCTGGAAATTTGAAGAATAACCATATTTTACCAACTTTAACAAGCTCAAACTAAATACTGAAATACTAGATAGAGAGAGATGGATATAAACTAAGAACAATGTAATCCTCTTAACTCAAATTAGGATGAGAATGTTCTGCCAGAATCACTTAGAAGACAAGACCAGGTTAAATATCTTGTGCAAACCAGGTCATAATATAAGCTATAGAAATGGATTTAAATTTATCAGTCTTAAATAAAGCCACAACAGGATTATCTCAGTGAATTGGGCAGGTTCATCTGTCAATAGGATATTTCTCAAAATTTGATGTAATTTTTGGAGATTTAAGCTATTGCTGTTCAGATAATAACGATCACCAGGGTTCAAGCTACATCCACTGAAGCAAAATTGAACTGAAAATAGGAGTAAGATCCTTCCCCACTGGGGAGGACTAGAAAAATGAATGCTTCCCAAAAAAGGAAGATGGAATTCAATTAAAGATATGCAGTCACTCATAGATAACTAGTCAGCTGAAAATGAACTGATTTTTTTGAGATATTGGAACAGTGTTTCCAAGTTATTAAGTGAAAATGAGAAAATAAGAAACCATGAATGTGGTCAAACCAAGAAAACATTGGTGTGCCTTTTTGGAATCTTTTGAAGTTGAAGAGAAGTTTGATAGTATTGAACGTATTGATACATTTATATTTTATACTTTAATAATAAATATCAAAAATTACCTCCCAAATCTTATGGATATAGGATAATAGTTTTCAAGTTATTCCATTAATTGTTATGGATTTAATCTTTGTCTATAGAATCTACTGAATTTTGTAAAGCTTGATGTCTTACATATTAAAGTTTCTTAATTTATAAGTCTGATAAAATGAATGTTACTCCAAAACGGAAACATATTTTTGAGGGGGGAAATCTTACATTTTTAAAATAGACTGACAGATATAGAAACAGAAATTTTAGTGAACAGAACTTCAGGTTTCTTTTAAAGTATATCTTTCTTGAGAAACAGGTTTTAATTTTTCAGGTATTCAGCCTTATCACTGGGCTTGTATTTTGATCTTTATCTCTCTTCACAGAATTTAAATCATCCTTTTTAAAGCCGGTTATGTCTATAACTAGAAAGTGAATCTTAGTCTCCTTTCCTACCCAATTAATTCTTCTTTACAGAGATTGATTTGACCCTAGCTTTGTTCTTCCAATAAATTGTCTTTCCTCTATTAAAGGCTGCTTGAGGAGCAAGCTTAATTTTGGTCCCAATTCTGGGATAACTCCAGTTTGAAAAATTGAAATAAACATTTTTTTTAAAGAAAAAATCATGGACAAAAAATGACATTAATATATATTCTGGATCAGCTTATGTTTATTGTCCTTTAAAAAAACTGACAGCGCTGCAGATAGAATTTGTGTCTAATATTCGCAAATGGTAACCTATGCAACTAAAACTTCTAACTATACAATCTGGACCAGGCACAAATAAGAGGTGTAAATCCCATGCATGCAATGATAGAAAGGCATAATATATATATACCGTATAAATGCTTGTTCAAGTCAAATGTGGCACCTGGTAACCACATGAATGTAATAAACACATAGTTTTTCTCAGCAACAATATTGAAATGGCTTGCCATTGCTTTCTTACAGGATGTTTTTCTAACTTCCAGTCTAGCCTAAAGCTCATCCTTTTGGTGGGGAGGGGGAGATCATCCACTATTGGACAGGAACTGATTAGGGGTAGCAATGATGTGGACTAGATGCATCCTTGGAAAAATACCATAAAAGCAACTGTGCTATTCTGAAAGCAGCTACTATTGTGACAAGCCTGTAGTGGGCTCCTTTTTTTATAGAGGCTCTAATTTTGGAGAGAGTATGTGGAGCCTCCTTTAAAGTGGAGCCCCCTATAGGCTCGCAACAATAGTGTCTGCTTGCAGAATACTGTAAGCACAGGGGGTCTTCAAACTTGACAGCTTTAAGACTTGTGGACTTCAACTCCCAGAATTCCTCCTCCAGTCATGTTAGCTCAGGAATTCTGGGAGTTGAAGTCCACAAGTCTTAAACTTACCAAGTTTGAAGACCCTTGCTATATATAGCACAAGGTTGCCGTGAGACAGTCTCTGTAGGAAAGCTGATCCTTGCATCACCTCAGCTGGGAGCCTTTGGGGGGGAAAACAAATAACTTAGGTGCTACTGGGCCCTTGAGGAACAGGGAGTCTTGCAAGTTCCTTGGGTGTCTGAGTGAAAAGAAGGCCTCGTCATACAAGCCCTCACAGCCCCTATGTGTCAATAGCCATCTTGGGCCCCTTTGGGTGAGTAGCAGTCCAAGGCCTGCAGGGACCCCAGGAAGCAGAGCATGAGATGCCTCAGAGGGTGGGGGAGGCTTAAGAAAGCCTAGGGCAGGTGGGCCTGGACCTGCACAGTGTCTCCCCCCCACACACCTGTGGAAGTTATTAAGCAAGGCCATATCACTTAACAGCTGTCACCACTTGCAACTGTAAATAGCCAGGTCTATTACTGTCTTAAGTTTAAAATTACCTGTATTTCAGTTGTTTTTACAGGTACTATAGCTTTCAAATATTCTTTCAAAGAATGCTCCATCTGATGTAATTAATCCAATGAAGGTTTGCCCAGAATATGTGTATTTAGAAGCACAATGTCTACATTCTAGTTTGCTGAAAGTCATCTGCTAAATAAAAAAGAAGCAATGATGGAACACTGGGATTGGTTATTCCTTCTAGGCCACCTTCCTGGATGGTGGTTTATGATCCACAAAAGTGTTTGCAAGACAGTTCTGTTGATTTTCAAGTGATGGTTTGGAATTTGTGCAAATTTAATCCAGAGTCTTCTTCAATTGCAAGATGGTATTATTGGAAAAAGCTCATGATCCATTCCCCAATGCCAATGAAATAGACTCCTTGGGCGATGCCAAAGAGGGGCGCTATCACCAATGCACGACATCCTGCTCCTTTCATAAAAGCGGAAGGACCCTCATGAATCCAGATCTTCCTGCAGGTAATTCACACAATGAGGTAATTTCAGTAAAGATATCCTGAGTAGCAGCTGTTGTTATCAGCAACAGAAGTGCATCAAACATGAGTGCTTTTCATACTTCAAAAATTATTTAGAAGAAGTAATCCTGGAACCCAAAGCAGCAGTGGTGGTATTCTACCAGTTTGGCCTGTTTCTGCTGAGTTGGTAGTGCCAATGAGCAGTGGAGACCAAACCAATTCTCTCCGCCGCTCTGCTGTTGGGCCCACCCATCTGCCCGGGCTGCCATACTCACCTTTATTCCCTCCTTTTGAAGTGCAGCTGCTTTGCGTGGCACAGCAGAGCCGTGCAGCAGCTGCTGAAGCAACAGGGAGAGTGCAGATTGCAGGAGGTGAGTTGGAACGCCTCTGCGCTTGCACAAATGCCTATTTGGCATGCGCACACACATGCAAAGTGTGCCCACCAAGCCACACCCACCAAACCGGTGGTAAAAATCTTTGAATCCCACCACTGCACAGCAGCACATATGTAGCATTTCTCTTTAAAGCAATTGTATCTCTTTTTCAGACTTTCAAGTGAATATGAAAAAAGACGCAGCTTTTAAAATGAATTGACTCATTAAATCAGCCCTGTCTTTTTAAAGGCTCCCACAGAAGTCTGAAAAGGGCAGTAACCACACTGAAGGGATATCATTGCTTTTGCTCCTAGGCATTCCAAAAGTGCCCCAGCATTTTTGCAGAAAGGCAGAGACTAATTTTTGTGAACTTCTATAACAGTTTTGCTTTTTGCAGGCAACCCATACAGGCAATGATGGGATTTGGGGCATGGAAGATGAGATATCTGTTGTTTAGGGAATGGCATTACGTGTTTTAAGTGCAACACAGAACTATCTCTGGAAACATGCCCTCCACCTCCCATCTCCACCCCAAAGTAAACGCAAACTCAAGAACATTCTGTATGAATTGTACGGTTAGAAAAAACACATCTTTACCAGTTAACTTTTGGTCAAATGATATTGCATGATGGCTCACACAAACTTGCAACCATTTTGTGAACCAACAGAACATCCACAACTTACTTGCTGAATTCCCAATGTATCCACCAGTCCAGACTAGTTGGGTTTTCCAGCCTTGATGCATGGGGAATATTTTTCAGAGATCAAGTGTTTAATGCTTAAAAAGAATCATATTTAATTCTGTTTACCTGGCACAGTCAATGATTCCATTGTAAGTATCTTCTCCCAGTCCTTTCTGCAGAGTTTGGATGCGAGTTTTTAGAACTGTAAGAAGATAGTTTGTCAAATCTATGCAAAGAAATTTGATCTAAATATTTACACATCTTTATGGATTTACAGATACCGCAGAGGGATATCTTCAAGACTCAGATTTAATTATTTGCTTAATTTCTTTTTGGACAAGATGCTTCCCAATTAAATAAACCTGAAAAAATGTTCATCTCTGATTAGAGATTTACTAAAGTAGTAAGTATGTGGTGCTTTGTTCCCCAATCTATTTTAATTTTAGATATACTACCTGCTAGTAATTTGTGATAGGATGAAAACAAGCCTTTTATTTTTTATAGTAGCATCATCTAATACGCACCATCCAATGGTGTTACCGCAACTGCAGCCAGAGATCCTGCCACACAGCCAGACAGAAACGAATGAAAGAAAGATGCTTTTTCTTCAGAGGTCTTTTGTCCCAACTTGTTAAGGTTGGCAAAGAGTGGAAAATAAATGATGGAAAAAGGGACATCCCTATTGAGAGTAGAAGTAAAATATTTTAGGTAAGCCTTGGGAGAGATTTTCATATTTCTCACTGAAGCAAGTTGCTAATTTTGCTTCATTAGTAACTCAATAAATTATGACTAATTTTATATTTATGAAATGTAACTTCCATGCCACTGATATAGCAAGTATACTGGCTTTTTATTCCCTACTTTCTTGGAAACATGTAATGCAGCATATCAAGTGCAGTGCTTCTTCTCGTTTCTGTGACACAAGTTGCAGTTCTTCCTCAGACAGGTAAAAATTTTATGATATTCTCTGGAGACTTATTTCATTGACATATATAGATGCCAAGATTTTAATGGCTCCTTTGGCACTTATGTTACACTTTAGTTTCTCCAATTGTTATACATCCATCTCAAGATGGATTTATGTAAGACCCACACAATTCTCATAATATATATAAAATTTCAAATGTTTGCATTTGCATTACATAATGAATATATATTTTAGAGGGGATGATAAGAAAGCTTTTATATGTTTTCTTACAAATTACTAAAATAAATTTTGACTTGCATTGTATTTTTTCAAAAAGTTATATTTAGCATTGACCTATTATTTTCAATCCCTATGTCATATATGATTACTGAAGGGTGGTCATCTTATTGGTAGAATTTATGTTACGGTATATAACAAAGGCTCCCTTTTCAACTTTTCTTTTGTAATTTGGCTAGCATATATCACAAACTTTGAAAATATGGAACAATAACTTGGGAAGACAAAGCATAAAATCTCATGTACATTTTATAGACAAACTTGAAAGTCAGACTTGAGGCCATTTGATTTTACCAATACTTTTGAAAAACATAAAGATCACCATTATATACTGTAGTAATGGAATATGTTTGGAAGACAGAGAGACTACTGAAAATTTTAATGAAAGCATTTAGGCTTCTTCTCAGAAAAAAAAGAAAGCATAATAAACTACCCAAATATTAAATTGTGAAAAAAGATCCAAAGCCCACATAAAACTCTACAAAGTAATTGGTCCAGTTTCATGCATAAATTTGGATCCTATTAATTCCCATCATCCAAACCAGTTCTCCAAAAGCCAGTCGTTGGGGAACCGACTCCAATTCTGAAGTCAATGGAGAAGTTTTTATGAGTTTAAAAGATAATGTATAAAGAGGACTGAACCCAATTGAGTTCTCTTCTTAGACCATTAGGTGTTGCTACCATAGAACTTCTAGAAAAAGAAGATTCACACTCTTTTCACCTGAGTAGGGTGGCTCCAAGCCCTTTATACAGGCCTGCTATGCCCTGGGTGCGCAGCAGTTCACTTGCAATCCTAGTGGCAGAAGGGCGTTTAGAGGCCGCCATAGTTCCAGTGGTATAAGGCTGTCCTTTGGCCAGATGAGAAGAGGCAGCAGTTGTTTCCTCCAGCCCCAGGGCTTTCTGCTGATGAACAGCTGAAAAACAGAAAGACTCCCTTTGTCCTACCAATACGCAAGACTCTTTTGCGTTCTGCTGAATTCTTTGAAACAGAAGATGGTTTCATATTGTTTCTGCACCATGTTTGCAAGAGTTTTCATAAAAATTCTCACCAAAAATTATACTATATATATCTTGGCCGAGCTAAATGCAATTCTTGATGAGGTCCATATGTTTCCCCAGCAATAACATAGATGTGGTTTCTCATTGTTTAAACATCTCCAAGTCTAATCTATAGTTAAAAATTTCTTAGTGGTTATTTTGTTCATATACTAAGCACATGACTCTGCTTAAATCTCAAAGCCAAGTAAGTTCAACCAGCTGCTCCTATTCCTTCAGGCAGTTGCATAATCATATTTGCATACAAGCTTCATTATGCATTACTCAATCCACTGAGTCTTATCTGTCTCAAACTATATTAATTTGCTGCCTGTCCATCCCTGAAAATTTAAAGACAGACGTTTTTCTAACAGTAGCTGAAACAGACATCATGTCTGACAATATGTCATTTAAGCCTTCACCTGCAGATGTGAAATGGGAAGCTGTGCTCCATAAAAAAAAAAAAAACAGCCTGGCTCAACCTGCTACCCTCCAGATGTGTTAGACTTCAGTTCCCAGAATCCCTACCCAAAATGAAAAAGGTTGATGTAGAGCCTCTGTTTTTATCACATGTATCACTTATACATGCATGTACTAAAAACAGCAGCACCTTCCTCTGGGATTTAACTTCTAATAACCCAACTGAAGGGAATGAGCAAATAGGAAACAGCCTGCCCCAAACTGCTGCTGTCTGGATGTGTTTGATTGTAAGTCCCATCTTCCATACCAAGATAAGCCCTCGTCATTGGTTATATTGTATTAACCCTTTGGTCTCTCCAGAAATAACTCTGCAACTGTACAATTGCTGGAATTGATATTGTCCTGAGGCAGCTTCTGTGCATTAAAAATGGCAAAATGCAGTGTTTGCCATTTGTAGTGATGAAGCTCTGTAGAGCTTGGTGGATGAGTCATTTTATCACTGGTAGGAAAATGCTTCATTCCACCTCCTAGCTTTGGGTTCGGGTCAGACTTCACCCACTGCCCAGAGAGGTTTGGCTACAGTGGCATCACGATGAGATGTTTTAATTTTCCTAGTCTTAAGCATAACAGAGGAATAAATGCAAGGCTTACATCTCCCTCCATAGTAACCTTTGTTTTTGTCTCTTTGGAATTCAACATATATTAGTAACATGAAATGGGACTAATAGTAATAGCAATAGCACTTAGACTTATATACCGCTTCACAGAGCTTAACAGCCCTCTCTAACTGGTTTACAGAGGCAGCATATTGCCCCCAACAATCTGGGTCTTCATTTTACTGACCTCAGAAGGATGGAAGGCTGAGTCAATCTTAAGTCTGATGAGATTTGAACTGCCAAATTGCAGACAGCCAGCAGTCAGCAGAAGTAGCCTGCAGTACTGCATTCTAACCACTGTGTCACTACAGACCAAGGTATTGATTGGCTGCCATTTTTTTTTCCATCCTCTTATTTATTGGCCAGCTGGGAAGGTGACCTGGTTGGCTTACTTTTTGTTGGTATTTTGTGTCTGGCAGATAAGACTATAAGAACTGTTCTAGCAAATACGAACATTTATGTATGCAACAAACAATTTTCCTACAAAAATGAAGCCAGATTGATTTTTGTAAACTTTACAGTTTCAGGCATGATATTCCCCTCTGAAAAAAAAAAATTGGGACCGGCCAAGAGACCCTGTGCGCCAAGAAATCGCACACACAACACCAACGCTACACACCCTTCCTTTCCAGCCGGTCAGGTGTAGGTCAGCTCTGGAGCTGGGCAGCCGCTTCCCTGGTGGCAGGGCTGAGGCCGCCGCCTGGGGAGCGCCCGCTGCTTTCCCTCACCAGGGCCGGGCGGTGGCATGTTGCCCTCTGCCGCGTGGCCCCCGCCTGGCAGCGCGCTTCTCGGCACGAGGCAGCCGGGTTGCCCAAGGAGCCCGGCCGGCCAGGCAAGGGGAAGGCAGCGAGGGCCCTGCTGGGCTGGGGTGGAAAACCCGCTTGGCAAGGGGCCGGGGAAGCCTGCGGGCAGAGGACCAAGCGCGCTGGGAGGCAGAGATTTGGCCGAGGCCGTCAGATGGAGAGATGGCTGGTCTGTGGCTGCCCAGCTCCATTTTCCTGCCGCTCAGCGGCCTCCGCTCGCACTGCCCGGGCTCCGCTCAGGTGTCCGGCTGGGGCTCTGCGCGCCTCTGCGGCTGTCCGTTCAAGGGGTCGCGGTTCTCTTTAAGTATCCATGGACCGAAAGGTGCCAGGAGGAGGAAGAAGAAACCCGGGAGCCGCTGTGCCTGAGCCTCCGGTGCCGCTGCTGCCGTTGCAAAGCGCCGCCACGGCTCTTCCTTTTTGCCTTTCCCTTCCCGAGGCAACACAGGACTGGAGCCGCACGGAGCCATGCCGGCGGTAGCAACTCCTGACTCAGGGGGCCTCCGAGGAGAGGGGAAGAAGGAGAAGAAGGGGGAGGAAAGGGGGGGCGATTCCCAAAAAAATCGGAATTCCGATTTTAATTGGAAGAATATCATGTCTGAGTTTACAGTACTGAGGTGCTCACCTAGCCGTCCAGCATCCTGAAGCTGAATTTTCAACATTTCCATCGGGGAAGTAACCACCACCTGGCATGTCCCAGCTCCGCAACCAGCCAGCATTTCCCTGGCCAAGGACAATTCTTTTCTGTTAAGAATAAATATATACAAATATATAGGACCAGTTCAAAGCTGCAAATGGAAACGATGCTCAGACTGGAGCAAGATTACAAACAGAGAACAAATGCTCTTTTGCCCATACCCTTCCACGGAGAGCAACTGTCGGAAGAAATCATTGGCTGCCAACTTGATTGCCTTTTCAGGAGTGACAAGAGTGAGGTTTACAGCAGCCCCTTGGAGAGAACATAAGAGGCAATAAGGAGTCTTGGATGAGGACTTTGCTGACTCATCCCTATTCCCAACAGGAAATGCTGATCGCTCTCTCTTGCACACAATCCACAAAAACAGTAATATTTAAATAATACAAGTTTCAATTGTGTGTGTGTGTGTGTGTGTGTGTGTGTGTGTGTGTGTGTATACCCATCTTCCTATATTCTCTATATTATTTTAAATAAACATTCTACCAAAATAATAAACTAAATGCAATACTAAATATCACTTATTGAAAAATCAAGTTTCTGAGTCTAACACAACTCCTGTTTTCCATGTAGTTTTCTTTCCAAAAATACAAAAATTACCATTTTTAATCTTGTTTGAGTTCCCAGTCTAGCCTATGGTTCTAGGATTTTTTGGTAGTCTCTCATCCAAAGTCAACTGTTATCCTCTTAGGGCTTCAGAATTTTTTTTTTTTTTAAAAGTACCAATTATATAATAACTGCTTAAAAAATCTTACAGCATATCCAGATTTTTTCATATTTCAAATTCAGTCATGAAGAATGTAGATAAGTTCAACTCAACATATGCTTCTGTACGGATTGGCTATATGAGTAGCAAAGAGAAGTTGATAGAGGCAAGAGCAGAAGAGAGCTGGAGCATTCCTATTTGATGCTTGTGAGCTTTCTGAATGCAGCTGATTTGGCACTGCAACATAGAAGGTGACCTGTTGGCCTTACCCAGCCAGGTCCTCGATGTGTTCTTAGGACTATGCCCTTTCCTTACCAAAGCAAGCTTTCTATACTTCTGAAAACGTTGCACAATTTGGCTTTAAAGATCATGGGGAACCTTCTCATCACTCGTCTTACACCTACAATTATTCCTTACCCAAGGATACTCTGAAATAGTGAAATCTAAGAAGGACTATATCAGATGACCGTCTAAGAAGTAAGGCAGTCAAATTTTTATGAAAGGAACCAAGAGATTTAAAAAAGGAAGACTATGAATGGCATAAAGCCAGTTTCCAGAATATAATCTTACAAGTGATGGATGGTGGACAAAGATCCTAGTGCCAGAACAAACCTGAAACTTCCAATGAAATACTGTTTGGAAGACTAACTCTTAAACTGTATAGCATTTGCCTTTCAATAAACATTAATAGAATGCAGCATGTATGTTTATAGTACATATTTTTTTTAAAATGTGGCTATCTTGAAACTACCTTTAATTACTATACCGGAATTGGCAACCTGGAATCTTCCAGATGCTCTTGAACTAAAGTTTCCAAAAGTTCACCAGGTGAGCTGGAAATGACAGGAATTAAGAAAAAACATTCTATATATATTATTTTAAAATTCCTCCATTCAATGTTGTTATTTCATTTCCAATTTACAACCATCACACACACACACACACTCTCTCTCTTTCAAATCACATATTTTACTTTAAATTGAAATATTGTAAAAAACAAATTATTAAAATTTCAAGGCAAATTAAAGCCCTTCCATTTCTATAGGGATTACCTCTATAAATGCCAAACAACCCTTCTGAGCGTATTGTCTTCACCAAACAATCTTGCCTAGAATATGAAAGGAAGAAACAATTACAAAAACTATGTCAAAGTTGGGGTTCATGGGTGTAATTATTTCTCATTCCCTGTTTTTCCATGTTTCTCCTTAGGGTAGCAAGACCTTCTTAGCTATGGGCCAAGACAGTTGAAAAGCTCAATTACATTCAGCTTTTAGTAGATATACAGCAGGATTCTTTTCTCATTATTGACTTTATTTCTGAATGATGGTAACATTATATTATTGACACTCAGTTAATTATGCTTGCTAGCAACTGTGGGAAATGTAATTTCCCCCATCAACTCTAGCATCTTTCCCACCTTGTGCTTTTCAGAATTGCTGGGTCTGCAACATACTGGTTAGAAATTTTGAGAGTTGCTGCTTTATAAGATATATTAAAAACATTATGGGTAAAAAGAAAATGGAATTTTGATATAATGTTACCATCATTCAGAAATAAAGTCAATGAGAAAAGAATCCTGCTGTATATCTACTAAAAGCTGAATGTAATTGAGCTTTTCAACTGTCTTGGTCCATAGCTAAGAAGGTCTTGTTACCCTAAGGAGAAACATTATGGAAAAACAGGGAATGAGAAATAATTACACCCATGAACCCCAACTTTGAAATAGTTTTTGTACTCAATAGTGTTAGGAAATGCATCAATAGAACTCATTTTGATTCAGCTTGAAGTTTAATATTCTGTACCATCACTCACGCACATGCCTGTGTAGACTGCTCGCCCTTGCTGATTCTGGAGACGGGTTTTGGCCAAATCAATGGGGAACACACAAGTTACCCCCACAAGGCCAGCTATACCTCCATTGAGTAATTTTGCTGGAAGGCTGGAAAGAAAGAGGAGATAGTTACCAACATTTGTTAAAAAGCATTAAAAAGCTTTCAAATCCCATTCCTCTTCTGTGGTGTCTTGGAGGAATACTTTGCAGATTTTGATGATAGTAAAGTAAAAACAGACTGTACAAGATAAATATTACTGTGAATGAGAGAATGTTGGCCAAAGCAGTTTCAATCATTGCAGTTATTATTAATTTCTACTCTTAGGAAATTTACAGTAGATTGTGAACTCTTTGCCCTCTTCCAGTTAAATTTTGTTCTTATGTTCAACAACTTATTTCTCTCAATAATGACAAACATCATAGGAACAGAATCATTGACTCTGAAAACCAAGCACACAAAGGCACTACTGACCTGATCTTCTTGCTTGTCATTTTCCTTGGGTGGTGGCTGCTGCTACTACAGACCCAGGAAATTCTTTGACATTAGGGAACACTGCCTTTGCTGTCTTTATTTAATCGGAGACAAAACGATTCTTCTTTCTTTATTGGATAACAAATCACATAGTTCAAAAATAGAATGGAATGTTCATAGTTCAATCAAGTCCCAGGGATTTTCAGGGAAGTTTGCTGAATACATTTGGTTCTTTTCTTTTCTTTCCCCTAATAAGCCAGTCTATACTAGATACTTTCCCTGTTTCCTATCGACCTTCCCTCATGTTTACATCTGCATTCAACTCCTACCCTCAAAACGACGCTATAGAGCACTGCACACCAGAACAACTAGACACAAGGACAGTTTTTCCCCGAACACCATCATTCTGCTAAACAAATAATTTCCTCAACACTCTCCAACTATTTACAAATTCTGCATTACTATTAATCTTCTCATCACTCCTTATCGCCCATTCCCCCGCCACTTGTGACTGTATGACTGTAAGTTTGTTGCTTGTATCCTTACGATTTATATTGACTGTTTCCTAGTATGATTTGATTGCTTATTTTACCCTATGACTATTAAGCGTTGTACCTGATGATTCTTGACTCTTGATGAATGTATCTTTTCTTTTATGTACACTGAAAGCATTTGCACCAAGACAAATTTCTTGTGTGTCCAATCACACTTGGCCAATAAAGAATTCTATTCTATTCTATTCTATTCTATTCTATTCTATTCTATTCTAT